TATATTTTTCTTCATTATTGTGTAAGTAACAGTCTGTACCAGTACAGAAAACTGATAACTGTGTAGCATGGTGTCCTTGGTTAGCAGCTGAGTTTAAAAAAAAAAAAAGCATCAGAATAACAGATTTAGTAATTCTGGAGCATTACTGAGCAGGAAATTAGACACCTTCCTCACCTTGTCAGTGCTACCCTGTGCTCCCCTGCTGTACTACTAGGTGGTGTTCTGTAGTCCAGCAGGGCTGAACTAGGCTGGGCTGAAAATGTTGCTTGGGATTTCAGTGCGGCAGAGACACACAGGATTTCTGGTAGGATCAACAGGTATTGTTCTGTACATGCAAAATGTCGGTAGATGTGCATGCTTTGCAGAGATATCTTGCATGTGTTTTTTTTTCTATTTTGCCCAGACATACACTTTAATGAGTCATAGTTGCTGCAAAATGTCACTAGATCTGGGTCATTGTAATTTGATGTGTATGAGGCAGCGGCATATATTATATCTATAGCAGCCCAGGCGGCTGCTAGGGGGCCTGGGGATGGAAGGAGGCCCCTTTACGCTGTTGGTGCAAATTAAACATAGAAGATAATACAGTGCTGTATTATTAAGGGTTGGGGTGGTTCCAGTTGATGACAACTCTAATCTCCTGTAAAGTCTGCATCTGTAGAGATGACTTCAGATGCACAAGAGGAGTCTTTGGGATCTTGGCATGGTATCATTACTCACAGCTCAAAGAGAGGCTATGGGGCCCTGTATTCCAGTGGTTACAGCCCTGATATGAGGGGTTAGTGATACCTGGGCAACCTAGAATTGATCACCCGGGACGAGTTTTCTCTGTTGATTACTGTCATTGCTTTGTCATAGGTGATTGCTTATTGGGTAAACGTCCTTGATGGCCTATGTGAATAGCTGAACCAGCTCATGTCTGTGGATACCATTAGATGATGAGTGATTTTTAGTGCATCCGAAACCTCTTAAAGTGCACCTGTGCCCACACTATGGAGATTTAAGCGTTTATGTATTCTTCACAAGCAGTTAAAGAGCTTTATTGCTACTAGTTGGAGCTAGAGATGGGTAATTGCGTTGTGGTATTGACCATGCTTATGGATGGAGATCTGTAACCTGTTGATGTATGAGCCTTTTACAAGTAGAGGTTAATTGGTTATATCTATAGTCAATACGTAATGTTTACAAATCCTTGTTGGGTATATTTTTACTTGTATTTGAAGGTAGATGATTGCCGGTCTGCTATGAGTGCCACTAATGATTATAATGACTGAGTGTGCTAAAGATTTGTATGTGCCACTGCCACCAATTATTGTTTTGGGTCTAAATAATGCAATGTATCCAATTATAAAACATGATTGTGGAGCTAGTATTATGTAAATAGAACTCTATATAGTATGACGACATTCAAGTGTTGATTTTTGTCTTCTACTTGGCTTCTCTAGCACCCCAAATACTTACCACCTCATGAATTAAAAACAAACCTGTACTTTATCCAGAGCAAAACAACAGGTTTGCTTTTATCAACCCCCCCCCCCCCTTCAAAGCACAATGGAACCCCAAAGTCCAGTTCTTGTGACTAATGCAATGGTTCCCTACTGTGCTTGGACATGGTAGGTGGTGCCCTGGCTCACATAAAAGAGATCTGGGTACGTTTCGTTTGCACTCTGGCACTCCAGGGATCGATTACCATGGAATTTGAGCACTGGAGCAGGTTGGATCCATTTGTGCCCACTCAGGTAGTATGGATACGGATGACAAGAATGTGCTCGGATCTGGCACAATGTGAGCACAGGAAGACTGTTCGTGCCCAACACAATGCAAGCGCAGGAAGTGTGCCTAGGCCTGGCGCAATGTGAGCACAGGAAGGGTGCACGGCGCATCACAATTGAATGCAGACCAGCCTGGGAGTGCGGCAATTGTGCATGGGCACCATGCCTAGTGTGACAGAGAGCAGGGTTGTGGCTTGCCTTGCTGTGCCTCTGTGTTTGTGGAATGTCCAAAAAGTCACCTGCTGGCCAAGGTTCAATATGCTGAATGCCTTTTTATTTAGATGCTAGGCAAACATGGTGGCAGAGTGCAAATGCAACATTTCGGAACCGAATATGGTCCCTTCATCAGGCTAACACAGTGAACGTCACTGGGTCTAGCACGTAAATAAAAAGGCGTTAAGCATATTGCACCTTGGAGTGTGGGTGACTTCTTGGTCATTCTTGTGATTTACATGGCGCCATCCGCAGGTCATACCCGCACCCACTCACTTTATGGGATTCTGGTCTGGAGTGCGATTGATTAAAGGAGAACTATGGGGTCAGTGTTTTTCCCCATAGTTCTCCTTAGGGTAACGGGAGGACACAAACTAGTGTCCTCCTGTCATCCTAAGCTCATGATGAACTTCGCTCAGAACTTCTTGATGAACTTCGCTCAGAGTATAGCCAGCTTTAGTTTTGACATGCTGACTTGCCATGCCATGGTGTACATTTAAAATGTTCCTATTTTATTTATTTCCAAAATGTTGTATGGTAGCCATGTTTATGAGCCTCTTGGTGTAGAGCTTGGCTTGAGCCGTAGGGTCACTTTTGTTTCGTGTGACACTCAGGCTAGGCTCACACCTAGACGATTGAGCTGGTGAGCTGTTTTCGCGCGTTTTCATTTGTGCAACTGTTCATTGAAAACCGCTCGATTTTCAATGCATAGAGATGTCTATGGGACCCAAACCGCATGACAACTGCCCGAAAATAACTCCTGCCCCTTTGTGCGCGACAGGAGATTTCATCCACAAACTGCAAAGGTGTGAACAGCCTCCATGGACTTCGATGTGAATCTGTGTTTTGCATGATATCGCACGATAAATCGGGAAGCCGGGCAGCATGTAATGACGAGGTGCCCGGCTTTCTGATTGGCCAGGTAAGCTGGCTTCATGCTCCCTCGTCACCTCATGACGATGGAGCATGGAGCCGGCTTCCCGGCCAATCAGGAACTCAGGCTTCCTGATTGGGCGGAAAGCCGGCTCCATGCTAGGTGACGAGAAGCATGGGGACCGCTTCCCTGCTAACCAGGAAGCCAGGTGGCGAGTCATTACCCGCTGCCTGGCTTCCTTAATGGGACTTCCGGTATCGGTATTTGTTATCGGCGAGTACCAAACAAAAATTAAATATTGGTATTCGTACTCGGTACCAAAATACCGGTATCGGTGCATCCCTAATGATAACTAATTAAAAATTCATAAAGCAACATAAAGACTAACATAAGAATGATTAAAAGGAACAGAAAGAAGCAGAATCTGCGCTGCCAGCAGCAACTAATCATCATCTCCTTTTCTCGACATTTGTGCTTGTTGGTTAAAAACTAACGCTGATAGATGGGGAATGTTTCCTTAGCAAGGCATAGAAGTGATGTGGGGTTACGGCGAACAAACAGTCAGATGCCCCTTTTAGTACTGTAGTCATTGCATTAGGGTTTCTGACTAGTCGCCATGGGTGACCGGCCTTTGCACATGTTTATTTACCTTATAAAGCAAAGGCGTGTATGATATATTCCGGCGCCGAGTTATGTAAATGGAAAACTGTAGTCATGCTGTGAGCACAATGTACAGATTTGGGAACATATTGTTAAATCCTGTGCGAATTGGCCTTGATAGCTATGAGGTTAAGCGAACAGTCCTGTGCTGTGGTCACCCAATCAGCGGAACATTCCATCCGTGACATCACCCCCCACCACCTAGAGTCCAGCTCTGATCCATATTTGGTACAGCCCAGGCGTGCGTCATAACTGGCCCTCCTGGGGAAGGTCAGGATGGCTTGCAGAATAGCTCATGTCTTATGTAGTGGAATCCCTCCAAGCCTGAAAGACCGGGGGCTGAGCTTTTTCTGTGTTTACCTCATTTCGGAATTGTAATGAACTGGAAATAATTACATCATCCTTTTTTCCATTTCAAGTAGAAAAAAAATGCCTTGTTTCCCTCATGGCAGATCATTTAAGTATGTTCCATACGTACGTAAAATGCTTTATCATATATAGCATGATGCATGCCTGTGGGCACAATGAACCCCCTCAGCGGAGCCAAACATTATATATAAATAAACACCTACACATTCGGTACATTGTGCTCTCTATCAAAAGGAATGTGAATAATCAAAACAGGGCCCGCAGCTTAAAACGTAGAGGTCCCAGTCCAAAAAAGTGAAGTAAGGATTATGTAACTGCTTTAAATGTGATATTTGGGTATAGCATGTAACAGTAAGATGGCAGCCGCCCTATGCCCCAAACTCCTAAAGAGCAGACAATGCAAGGAGTGTCTCAGCAATAAGTGGAGAGCTCATCCAACAGCCTATCATAAGAGAAATAAGGAGGTTACCATATATACCAAACATCTACTTTTTAGTATGTTTGGCGCCATGCCTCACTTTATACTGCATGCCTTACTTTCATTTTAAAGGCATAGTCCACCGTTGGGACCATGCTTCATGTTGTACACTTATTTAGGGTGTAACTTGAAATATATTTAGCTATGTCATCCATTCACAGGGATCT